GTTGACCAGGATGGTCTCGATCTCTTGACCTCGTGATCCACCCGCCTCGGCCTCCCAAAGTGCTGGGATTACAGGCTTGAGCCACCGCGCCCGGCTAATTTTTGTATTTTTAAGTAGAGACGGGATTTCGCCATGTTGGTCAGGCTGGTCTCAAACCCCTGACCTTGTTATCCCCCTGCCTCAGCCTCGAAAAGTGCTGGGATTACCAGTGTGAGCCACCACGCCCAGCTAGTTCCCTTTTTTTTTTTTTTTTTTTTTAAAAAAAAGACACTCTGCTTTACTGTGAAGAATAGAAGACAAAGGTAAACATTAGGGAGACAAGTTGGGAGGCAAAGTGATGGTAGTAAAGCAATGAGAAGATAAGGAGCGGGCCCCTAATGGTTTAGCAAAACAGAAAGCATGAGGCAAAAAGTGGACAAATAAATGGTTCTAGATCGAGCACAGTGGCTCATGCCTGTAATCCCAGCCTTTGGGGGGGATCACTTGAGCCCAGGAGTTCAAGACCAGCCTAGGCAACATGGTGAAACCCTGTCTCCACAAAAAATACAAAAATTAACTGGGCATGCTGGTACATGCATGTAGTCCCAGCTACTTGTGAGGCTGAGGTGGAAGAATCACTTTAGCCTAGGAGGTCAAGGCTGCAGTGAGCTGTGACCATGCCACTGCACTCCAGCCTGGGCAACAGAGAGAGACCCTATCTCAAAAAAAAAAAAAAAAAAAAAAAAAAAAGGTTGTGTATATAGTGTATACATTTCAAAAGTAAAGCCAACAAGTTTTGCAGGAGAATTAACAGCATCCACTGGACACGGGGGTTCACACCTATAATCCCAGCAGTTTGGGAGGCCGAGGCAAGCAGATCACCTGAGGTTGGGAGTTCAAGATCAGCCTGGCCAACATGGTTAAACCCCATCTCTACAAAAATTAGCCAAGCATGATGGTGGGTGCCTGTAATCCCAGCTACCTGAGAGGCTAAGGTGGGAGAATCACTTGAACATGGGAGGTGGAGGTTGCAGTGAGCCAAGATTGCGCCACTGCACTCCAGACTGGGTGACAGAGAGAAACTCCATCTCACAAAATAAGAAAAAAATAATTAACAGCATCAAGGATTAACTTCAAGTATTTTTGCCTCAGTAACTGGATGAATGGAGATGGTATTAACTGAGAATGGGGAAGAAGCGAGGTGGCAGAGGAGGTACTTGATGTGCTTATAGATATGCAAGTGGATATGATAAAAATATGCTGTGTGAACTATGAAGCCAAACATGAATATTAGCTACATTTAATTATTGTTATTAATATCCTTACCTTAAGAGAGAAAAGGCTTGCTTTAAAATGGTATTGTTCCTCAGGCACAGCACCTACAGCAAAACAGTCATGTTAGGACAATCTTGAGCATTTACAGACCTCCAAGTATGTCTTCTCAGAGAGGCAAGAAACGTACAGTACACAAACCAAAAAAGGACAAAAAGGCTCTTATCTAGCAAAGAAGCTATCCTACAATTAACACCCAAGCATGCAAACAAACCAAGGTCATCCTTCTCATTCCACCCACTATAGTAAATGCTCAAAAAACAGAAGTGCCCCTCCCACACTGCTTTTTTGCTGTTGACTGTTTCCAACTTAATCCATTTTTCCTAATATCAATCAACAATTATTATGCATCTGCCATCCACGGCATCATGATAGGGGCTTTATTAAATCTTCTTTAATTCTCAAAACACTGCAAGACAATTTTACAAGTGAGGCAACTGAGGCTCAGAGAGGTTATATTCCAAAAAATTATACCTAATAAGCTGCTAAGAGGGCTGACTTACTACAAAAGCTATGCCTCTATTACAGCACACTGTCTCTCTCAATAACGTGATAACAACACTCCACAATAGAGGTAAGGACAAAAAAAAAAAAAACAAAACAATTACCATGATAGCTACTGCAGCATTGATCTCCCAGACTCAAGCAATTCCCTTGCTCCAGCCTTCTTTTGTTTGTTTGTTTGTTTGTTTGTTTTATGGGAAAGAACAACAAAAGTCTGTTCTTAAGATCCCATAACATGAAGAGAAAATCCTGCCCACTATGGATAACATTTAATTTTTTCAACATGGATGTATGAAAAGTCTAGTATGCAAAAACAAAGAAAATCTGAGAAACTGTCAGTTAAGAGGAGCCTATGGAAAAGATGATGACTAAATAAAATATAATATCCTGAATGGGATCTGGAACAGATAAAGGACACTAGAGAAAAAGTAAGGAAATCTGAACAAAGTATGGACATTAGCTAATATAATACACCAATACTGACTCATTAATTATAAAAAATAAACCATACTAGGCTGGGTGCAGGGGCTCAAGCTTGTAATCTCCACACTTTGGGAGGCTGAGGCAGGTGAATCACTTGAGGCCAAGAGTTCAAGACCAGCCTGGCCAACAAGGTGAAACCACATCTCTACTAAAAATAGAATAAATAGCCATGCGTGGTGGTACGCACCTATAATCCCAGCTACTTGGGAGGCTCAGGCAGGAGAATCACTTGAATCCTGGAGGCAGGGGTTGCAGTGAGCAGAGATCACACCACTGCACTCCAGCCTGAGTGACAGGGCAAGACTCTGTATCAAAATAAATAAACAAACAAACAAACCACACTAATGTAAAGATAATGGGCTGGGCACGGTGGCTCACGCCTGTAATCCCAGCACTTTGGGAGGCCGAGGCAGCAGATCACCCGAGGTTGGGAGTTAGAGACCAGCCTGACCAACATGGAGAAACCCCGGCTCTAGTAAAAATATAAAATTAGCTGGGAGTGGTAGAGCATGACTGTAATCCCAGCTACCTGGGAGGCTGAGGCAGGAAAATCACTTGAACCCAGGAGGCGGAGGTTGCAGTGAGCTGAGATCATGCCATTGTACTCCAGCCTGGGTAACAAGAGCAAAACTCTTGTCTCAAAAAAAAAAGGCAATACTAGGGGAAATTGGGAGATACAGGAAGTCTGTGTACTATCTTTGCATGTTTTCTGTAAATCTAAAACTATTCTAAAATAAAGCTTATTTTGTATAAGCCAGGTTTAGTGGTACATACCCATAATCCAAGCATTTTGGGAGGCCAAAGTGGGAAGATCACTTGAACCTAGGATTTTGAGACTAGCCCGGGCAACATAGGGTGACCCTTCCACTACAAAAATAAAAAAATTAGATGGGCATGGTGGTGCATACCTGTGATCCCAGCTACTCAAGAGGCTGAGGATCACTTGGACCCAGGAGGTTGAGGCTGTAATTAGCCATGATTGTGCCACTGCACTCCAGCCTGGGGGTGACAGAATGAGACCCTGACTCAAGTTAAAAAAAAAAAAAAAAAAAAAAAAAGCTTATGTGCCAACTGCTGTACTGAATGTTAAGAACAAAATGTAACTACAGGGATGAATCTTGAAAACACTATACTAAATAAATCAGTTACAAAAGACCAAATATTATATGATTCTATTTCTGTGAAATATCCACAATAGGCAAATCTATGGAGAAAGAGAGTTGATTAGTGACTGCCTGGGGCTAGAAGGTCTGGGTGGCTAGAGATGACAGCTAAGGGGTATGCAGTTTCTTTTTTGGGATGATATTCTCAAATTGGTTGTAGTAACAGTTGTAAACCTCTGTGAATATATTAAAAACTACTGAATTCTACCCTTTAAATAGGTGAATTGTATGTTAACTATATTTGTGAACTATATTCAATAAAGCTATCAAAAACTGTTTGCACAATCTCTGTCCTTCAGGAATTTGGATGGCTGGAGACACAGGCATACATTTGTATTAAGCAGCTAAGCAATAACGGCATTGTATGATGAAGTCAAAATAGACGGTGTGAACAGCAAGCACACCTGGCAGGAAATCCAGGGGGAGATGGCTAGGAGAAATCCTTAGCTCTTGCAGAGTTGCAGACGTTGCTGAGGATCTGCTCAGCCATGAACCCTCTTCCTAGACAAATGCATACAGACATGGATATACAAAGTTTGCCTACTACTTCAGGAAAATCACCAAAACTCTTATCACCCAAGAACCCCTACACTAAACCAAGAGATCCTCAGAAGCAAGGGTCATGTCATTTTCCTCTCGGGCACATTGTAGACAATCAAGGTTTATTTTGATGAATAAATGAATTAGAAAGAAGTGACTAGGCCGGGCGCGGTGGCTCACGCCTGTAATCCCAGCACTCTGGGAGGCCGAGGCGGGTGGATCACGACCTCAAGAGATCGAGACGATCCTGGTCAACATGGGGTCAACATGGTGAAACCTCGTCTCTACTAAAAATACAAAAAATTAGCTGAGCATGGTGGCGCGTGCCTGTAGTCCCAGCTACTCGGGATGCTGAGGCAGGAGAATTGCCTGAACCCAGGAGGTGGAGGTTGCGATGAGCTGAGATCACGCCATTGCACTCCAGCAAGAAGTGATAATTATTGCTACCATGTATTAAGCACCCACATCTACTTTACTGAGTATCTACTATGTGTCTAAATCACAATATCTTTACAAGATAAGCATTATTATCCCCAATTTACAGTTGAGGAAACAGATTAAGTAACCTACCCAAAGTCACACAGCTACTATTGAAACTAGCATAGGGTCTTGGGTTTCTCTGACACCAATATCCATAATTTCCCCACTAGTCTACACCTTTTCTCACATAAATGAAGATGTTAGTGCTTAGGAAATCAGGAGGGGGAAGTAAAACTTAGGAAAAGTCTCCCAGAGGATGTGAAACCACGAAGATTGGGAAGGATATGAATAGACAAAAGGGCAAAGTGTGCAGATGTTCCCAAAAAGCACAATTGAATCAGGTACCAAAAGACTTTGTAAAGTACGTGTACAATATACTGAACCTAATACTGGTCAGCATGAAAGACGGAGTAGGAAACTGGGGCCCCAGGAGAGGTCAGGTTAGCTCTCCCAACTACTGGCCATGTAACTTGAAGTTAGAGAAGATGACTCTAAAGTCCCTCCAGGGCCAGGATCTATTAACCATGACAAACAGAACAGAAATAGAATGAACAGAATATATATATATATATATATATTTTTTTTTTTTT